AATGGCGACATCATTAATGTCACTTCGAAATTAAATCACATAAAATAGATTGATGTGGATGCAAATATGGTCCAACTGATGATGATGATGTTGATAATCACATAGCTGATAACAATGAACGACGGCGAAGATGACGACGATGGTAATGATAATGATGTCGATGGTAATGATAACGATGATGATGATGATGACGATGATGATTACAACGACAAAAAGGATGATAATGATGAAGTCCCAGTAGCAACAGCAAAAAATCGAAAATAAAACATTAGAGTCGTTAGCCGATGTCAAGTCAACATTTCATTCAAGATGATGATAATGAAGATAAAGACAATGGTCATGAAGATGAAGATGATGATGGTTAAAATGATAACACTATTATGATAAATTAAGATAGATTATGATAACAATCTCAAAGTTGATGATGATGATTGCGATGATGTTTTAAGAAGTTTCGAGTTACGGTGCGAACAAGGTGTCAGACACGGTTGTTTGTGGTCGCTTGAGATGTAGTGATGTGAGTAGTTCGATCTATGTTTGGTCGGATAATGCGCAAGCATAAGCAAGCACTCATTAAGTTGGGTATCGAGTAATTTCGAAGTAACCGTTTCTTAATACCGCGACGGAAAAAGATAGTGATAGCGATGATAGAAGAGGTGATGATGAGGAAGATGATTGTGATGGCAGTGGTGATGATGAAGAAGATGATGGTGATAGCGATATGATTACGATGAAAACTATGATGATGAGCGATCTTTTTTCAAATGTTAACTTGACTCGCTAAAATATACTAACCAGCTTTTGAATGTAGACGCACATTTAGTAATTATTAATTATCATTGTTAGTATTATTATAGCAAAATCAACGCTAACATTCACGGATAGTATCACCTTATTAAAACTATATCTATAAAGGATACTTATCATGATACTTTGAATACAGATACAAATGAACACGATACTTTACAGATATGAACAATAATAAAAGTAACTGAATATGACAATATTTGCATGTGAACGTAACTGTGTATTTATATAAAAACTTTCATAAATCTGTCGTTTAATGTGATTTGACTTATTAGAAACACGTCAAAATATACAATAACAGCAATAACAATAATAATGAAAACAAAGATAACCTTAACCAATACAACACCGACAACAACAGCAACAACTACAGCAACAGCAGTAGCAACAACCACAACAACAATAACAACAAAATCAACAGAATAGAACATAAATTACGGTATGTCGGTGAAAATCTTTAATAACGTGGATTTACAACTATTGTACATAATATAATAATAATGATATAAATAAACATGCAACATAAAGAGAGAACGAAAGAGGAAAGAAGAAACAAATTCTAACAACAACCGCAACAACAACAAAAACAGCAGCAACAACAACAACAACTTCAGTCATAGCAACAATTGTTTGTTTACCCAGCAAACCACGTAAACCAAATACGTAAAAGCAGCTGCCGTGACAATGTTGCGATTATCCTCAACAACACTAAAAAACGAAAAAAATGTTTTAGACAATATAATCAACATTTCAAACAACAACAACAACAACACATGGAAAACAGCAACAACAACAACAACAACACATGGAAAACAACAACAGCAACAACAACAAACAACACAAATAATAATAACGAAGAAAGAATGACGACGAGGAAATAACGTTCATCTGAGTATGTTCCCATAAAGATGGTACCAGAATGAACCATTAACATTTCAAGGCATTATGCACGTACATGTGCACTCACACATATGCAGAAACACACTGGCGCACATACAAACAAACTCCTATAGACACCAACAAACATACATAAACAAACTTCTATAGATACCAACAAACATACATAAACAAACTTCTATAGATACCAACAAACATACACAAATACATGTATACAAACTTCTATACATAGATACAATCAGATGCATCGCATGCCTTCAACCAGCTACTTACATATACTAACACACATATAATATGCAACCATACACATGTGGTATTATTAAGACACACACGCTAAACCATACACATGTTTCAGACATTTATAAGATACACATTTATATCATAGATATATATATGTATTCACATCCACGAATACACATAAACGAATACGTACGTATTCGGCGTACACATTTTATTATGCAGAAATAATGCTTTCCATTTTATTCATATATTTATTTGTATATACATATAGATCTATGCGTATATACAATTTATATACAGATATATAATATATATAAAAGGAATTATATATATATATATATGTATATATATATATATATATATATATATATATAAATATATATATATATATATATTTTGGTAACAGACTGTTGTTAACGCAACATTTCAAAAATTCAACACTACTTTCAACATTGTTCAACTTTTAAAACTTTTAAAAGTTTTAAAACTTTATAAATTTGAATAATATGTATTGAATAATGTATTGATTGGCTACCATATATTTTATTTTAAAAAATATTGATTGTGTAATTGTCCTAAGAAGGAAGAGCTGTGGGATATTTCCAGAGCCACTGAACTGAGTTTTTTAAAAAACAGTACACCACTTCACCAAAAAATTTTTAGCACTCATTTTGTTTTTGTCAGTGATACAAAACATCTTCAATGACGAATCCCGATATAACATTTGCCAACAACATCGCACACTATAACCGAAGAGCATTTTAAAATTAGGAAATTAATCTTTCCCAAGTTGTCTTGAACTCAATCAACTCATAGACATCATAGACATAGATATAATAGAAAACTGTTCATTACCTTAGTTTTGAAGCATTTTAAAATGCCTATTTTTTTTGAAAGTTCGACGCGATAACATTGGCACCCAACGGAGCTGATTAACGTAATACGCCCGTAATTTCACGTGCGTGAATGAACATATAGGATCGTAAACTTTATTCATTGGATCAACGGCATCTTATAGGAAAAAGATTATAAATAAGTAGGGAATAAAAATTTAAGCAGCTACGTCTGTCTTCGTCAAAAGTTTTCATTGAAAATAGCCAAATCACCGAATTACTCAAAACATTTCGAAACGATTCTCCGATTTCGATTAAGGTAAAATAACCTGATAACTCTTATTACCATCTAATATAATATTATAACATATCATCAAAATCATCTGCATCACCACTTGCTTCTATCGTCATTTCTTCTCACTATTATCACACTATTAAAATTACTCTCTACTGTCTTATAGATGCTGTCATCATATTACATCCATTGCCTCATCATTATTATCATTGTTATACACCGTGTAGTGAAGTGAGACTTTCTACTCATTATAAATTCAGGTTCATATACATTAGCGAAGACTGTTACTCGCTATACACAGACGTACACCAACAATAAGAGTAACAACAATAATAAAAATAATAAAAGTAATAATAATAAAAATAATAAAGTTAACGAGTATAAAAGTATAATTATGCATGATAATACGATTTGCAATAAAATTCATCTGCCTTGCTTCGTTCAAGTACCTGACACTTTCCTCTTTCAATAATTTATTCACGTTTTCAAAATTTACGTTTCGGGGATTGTATATCTATATTATAAAATAATAATAATAATAACAATGAATAAAAACAACAACATTTTTCAAAATATTTCCTGCAAAAAAACATGCTTAAACGTGCAATAATAGCATCAACACAGCAATAACAATATATGAATGATGAAATCAATATAATAACCAATTCAGTAGTATTGTGTGTATTGTATCGTATCGTAATGTATCCATAGCATGTGCATTAATATTAAATTTTTTACCATAATTTTCATTCATTTAACGTCAACGTGTGCAAACAACACTGATTAAGACAATGAACTAACAATAAATATGGAAGATATAGAAAATTTTATCTAACTTCTTACCAAAAATCATTGTTCGGACTATAAAAAAAAAAACACTTCAAGAGCCATTCTTAAGCAATCAAATTCCTCTTAAAAAGAGTTTAACATCCTCTCCCAAGAAGTTAACTAACTATACAAAAACCATATATTCTCATTATTACCTCGAATAGAAAAACTGAAACGAATTCAATGATATGCCTGCCATACAAACATAAATCGCATCATTTTACCGCAATTAAATGTAGATTTATCAAAAAACAGTGCAAAGAATAACGAATACAAAAAAAAAAGAAATAAAAAGATGCAACAAAAATGCAAATTTCTACTAAAACAGAACAGAGCGAATGCTTGGGCATTCAATGATGATAATAATAATATAATAATTATAATTATTATATAATTATAATTATTATATTTATGAATCGTAAATACAAATTTCTTAAAAATCATACAAAACAGAGCTGCTTTGTTTTCACTTGCCGTCCGTTCGTGAACACAATTTTTGTTCTGGTTGTATGCAAACACATATAGACAATGATTAATGATAATGTATAATAGCAATAATAATTATCAATTATAATAAAAATTATTACCATAAAAATTATTCTCATTATTCTCATTATTATTATAACAATTATTACAAAACCAAGATTGAAAATTCCTAAATTGTTTTAAAAATTGTATGTATACAAAGTAAACTTGTGTTTAAATAAATGTACGTTTGTATAACACGCATAAAAATATGAAATATAACAAGAACAATAACAATAACAACAATTATAACAACAATACCACAATAAAATAACAATAACAACAAACACAAAAAACGAATATAAAGTTATAAAGTTAATGTGACTTGTAAGATGACAAAAAGGACCAAAACAATAAAAAAATAAGATTAACAAAAACAATAAAGTTAACTCCCATAACAACTACAATAAAAACAACAACAAAAACAACAACAAAAACAACAACAACAAACTGACATTGTCACACTAACGTGAACATTAACAATTATCAACTAAAAAATATGCAACTACACAAATAGCAACTACACAAATCTAAGAACAACAAAATCAACAACAATAACAGCGAAACTCCAATAACAATAACGACAAAAACCAAAAATCAACAACTAATAAATTCGCAACCATAGTGGCGTTACTAATAACAAACATAATTACTACAACAACAACAACAACAACAACAACAACAACAACAACAACAACAACAACAACAACAACAACAACAACAATGACAACAAAAATGACGACAACAATGACAACAAAAATGACGACAACAACAACAAAACGTTTAAAAAAAATGTTTATAATAAAAAAAAAATAAAACAATGAGTTTAATTATAACGAAAATTAATTAGATGAATAATCACAAAACACTATTATTAGTATTAATAATTGAAAACAACAATAATAAAATTAATAATTTTTTAATAAAAATAATAAAATATTATGTTGTGAGTATGTGAGTGAATGTCATAAACACACGGACATCATCATCAACTTCCGCCATCGTCATCAGCATCTTCTCCTTCTTCTTTTTCATCACTATCCCCATTTATCCATCTGCTGAGTTGCTGGGCTGGCCTACTGTGGATTAGATAGGAGGCAGGTGTTCGGATATGAACAATTTGACATCCTTCATTTCCTGTGAATGTGAATACGACGATGCAGCGATGACGTCACCGACAAACATGGACAGAATGATGATGATGGTGATGATGTGACTGTTGACAATAACGAGCTTGATGAAGTCACTGATTGATTTGAATTATGATGATGATAATACAGTTATAGAGGGAAAGATGTAACACTTCATAATAACAAAGGTAACTGATAAACTTGTAAAATGAAAAATAAGACTGACCTCATCGCATGAAGAATGACCGAGACCATTGTACATCTTGAACTGAACATTACCGTCAAACTGCTTGACAATCTCGCTGGTCATCTTACCCATGACGAATGGGATGAGGGTGTCGTCCGTGCCGTGGCACTGAAGTATTGGCACACTCTGATTGGCCTTCAATACCTGGTGGTGAATAATGATAATAGTGTCTAATAATGTGCACCACAATTCCAAATATGGAATTTTTCTCAGATCAAAAAACAAAGTACTAACAGCAGGAAAACTCCTATGCATTGGCAGCCAGGTACTTAGGGCCAGCACCCCTCCTAAGTTTTGTTGGGCCCGTGCAAATGCTGAATACAAAGCAACAGCTCCACCCTGGGAAAACCCGCCAATTATGATTCGACTCCTTGGAATTCCCAGTGCCTCTTCTGCTGCTATGTGACTTTGAACTGCCGTATTTAATGTTTAGTTAAGCCCTAGTTGCAAGTTTAAATATGAAACCTATCCATTTATTGTGCTGGGATGTTGTATGCAATTGAAAATAAATTCAACAAATTTCGTAAAACTAAGATGACTAATGTTATCATCAACCACTGTCAATCATTCAAACGACCAACTCTCTACCTACCACCTTTTGAGACAGAGATTACAATTAACTGATAGTCAACATTCAACCAATGCCACAGCAAATCAATCAAACAATCAACGAGCCAATCAGCTGACCAACCAACCAACCAACCAACCAACCAACCAACCAACCAACCAATCAATCAATCAATCAATCAATCAATCAATCAAGGGAAACATTCAGACAGCCACCTAGATCAGCTGCAGAATTGATGCCAGCCTCATCTTCAGCTGCATCAGCTGACAAGCTCTTTATATCAAACCTAGGTTGCATAGTTTCAGGACAGTTACATTAATTTAAACACACACACACATCTAAATTCACAAATAAAAAATTTTGAAATAATTTCCAAAATATGCTTATTAAATTACAGAGAAATTAATCAGCTTAACAATTTAAATAAAATTTTTGTATAAATAGATATTAAATGGATATATGAAAATTCTATTCTTGCTCCGTATTATGCTTTGCTAACTGTTTCTTTACATATTATTGCACCTCTGGAAAGTTTTAACACTATCATCACTGAAAAATGGAGTAAAAATGAATAAGAAACTGACAAAAAGTCAGCAAATATCAAACAATAAATCTAAAAAAATACATTTATTATAGAATTCATTCAAAATCAAAAAGACATAATTGAGATTTTGGGTAACATAAAAAATTTTGATATAAACTAAAATCATGTATAAAAATATCAAATATAACCTTATTGTATTAATTATTTTAAATAATTACCTCAAAAAAAGATGAATTAAAAAGAAAAAAAATGAATATTTCATTTCATAGTAACATATCAAAAAAAAAGACTGACCATGATGGCATAGACATGCCGCAGTTTAGGGTTACAGGGATTGAGTGACTGAAAAAGTAAAGTATGTATTAATTAGATCAAAATATCAAATAAATCAAAATATGTAACAAAAAGTAATAAGTAAATCTTATCAGAGTACTTTTAATATAAATTATAAAAACATAATTATACGCATAAATATACTTAAATGTATATAAAAAAAGTGACAATGTTAGTGTAGTGAGTAAACATAAAACAACCCCTACACACACACACACACACACACACACACACATACACACACACAAACACACACACATATATATATATATGTAAGAGAGAGCTTAAGCATAAAAAACAGCACTAATTTATTTAAATTTAGCGTCCCAATCAATAAAGTCGATGAACAAGCAAACATGTACTAACGCTGTTGGGCAGATATATTTGATGTGAGGTTGTGCTATTAATTTGAATGCCTGCAACCATCCATGTCTGCAATTCATAGAAAAGAAATAATAAATTTATAATAACTATCTAATTTGTCAATATTCATGATACATTCTACTATGCACATACTAAGTAGTAAGTACATGCTTATGTTTAAAATTTAAACATAAGCATGTACTTACTAAACAGTTTAATAATTTCAAGGGGGAAGATAGTTTAAAAAAGTCAAATTATGCTAGAAGTTTCAGCTATTAATTAAGAAAACAAACCCTGTGTCCCCAAGACCATGAAGAAAAATGACCTGAAATTATTATTTATCATTTTTTATTTTTTAAAATACAATTTTAATTTTAATCCTTCAATTACAATTTCATTTTTGTAAGAATGATGAACTGTTAATTAAAATGAAAATTTTGTCATAAATACTTGTCCTCAATTTACAATGTATGTATCTTTTAATTCAAAAATATAACTAATAATAAATAAAGCACAAATGAAAAATTAGGGAGGAAAAAAATTCGGATATTAAAAAAATCTAAAAAAAAAACTAACGGATGCGGTGTGCTTGGACGTAGCATTGTGCACGCAGGATGGAATGTTGGAAGCCATATTTCTTGAAATTTTGAAGCAAATATTTCCCATAAACTAACGAAGAGACAAATTTTTGATATTTTAGGAGCAGTTTCGCTGCAGATTAACAACAACAAAACAACCAACAACGATCCCCAACGTAGATCTCTCTTAATGTAGTTTTCTCTCTCTATCGATCGTCTCTCCAAACATAATTTCCCCGACGAAACAACCGTAATTTAATTTAATTATTAATAAAATATTTATTTATTTTATTAATTATTATCAAATAATCTAAAATTTAAGTTTTTTTGAAGTTAAAAAACATTAGCGAAAAAGGCTAATGCGTTACAATTTTTAGAGTTATCTATGTTTAAAAGTAAAACTACGGAATGATGCCGGCAAACTTAATTTTAGCTTTAAATTTAGTTTTAAACTTCATTTTATTAGTGAATTGTGAATGTCCGCCTAACGTTAAAGGTTGTCTTAATTAATGTTTATGTCATCTTTCTCAAACAACCTATTTGTCACTAAATTTACTGTTATTTCGCTTTTCTTACTACTCTCCCTTCATTTTATAATAAAATTTTTATTTCATTCAATTTAATTATTTTTAATTTAATGGTGAATCTATCTATAAATAAATGATAATTAAATAGTCAATTTTTTTGTCTTTTAGTCCACAGTTGGACTGATGACACATTTAAAAATGTTAACCCAAGCGGCTCCAACCTGGTGATATATTGCTACCATTCATTAAGAAATCCTAAAAAATCTCTATCAAAAACATGGACATCTGTCAAGGTTTTTATTTATTTTTTTTGTGTTTCATCAATAAAGTCTTTCCAACATTTAAGTTTAAAAATGCAGAGTAAACCAAAAATTCTAAAATGTTTAAAATGGTTATTTTTGAGGTTTAATTAATTATTAAATTTTATTTTATAAACTAGGCAGGGCTTTTTAAAAGTTAAATGTCAAACTTTGAAAAGCTTATTCTGCTGTTATTATTCAAATCTCTATTGAAAAATGTATATGAATTTTAATTTATTTATCCTTATTAAACAAAGAATGTAATTGTATTTAAAATTTATCTCAATTATTCAGTTTTTCTTGAAACCAAATGGTCTCTTCACATTGTATGAAGGCAAAAATGCAAGTGAAGTATGTTCCAAGTTTGAAGAAAGTTCCAAAATTTGGCTTCACCTGTCACCATTTTGGCAGAAGAACACCTTTTTTGTGTCTCCATTTAAAGATTCCTGCATTGGGATAGTCTCCAATGATGATTATGATGTCCAGCTCATTGTCAAACGTTAACTTCTTCTTCATTTATTATCGCCATTTTACTACAAAGAACAAATATTTTTGTTTGTTGTTTTTTTTATCTCATTTTAATTTTATATTGTTATTTGTAGCTGGTAATTTTTATATTAATATCTAATTTTATTTAATACAGACTTTGATATCGGCATGTTTGCTTGTTTCATGATTGGTGTTATACTTTTTCTCATGGCTCCTATACTAAGTAGGTAAGTAGTTCACATGTTATAATTAAATTATTTGTAGATATTTTATTTATTCTAAAGGATTTTCTAATTTGTTTATAATCACTGGATGATAATTTTTGAAGTAATGTTGTCTTCCACTACGGAGCTGGAGTTTCATTTGGGGTGCTGGCTTCCTTGCTTGTTCTTGGTTTTGTTCTTGGGAAGTTTCTGCCAAAAGTAGATAACATTTTTGTTTTTGTTCATTTAATCATTATAAATTTTTAAAGTTTCTTTTAAGTTAGAGATAAATTTTATTTTCTACTCATGTTTTACTTCCATTAAATGATTGTATTTCCACAATTATTTTACAAATATATGTGCCATCTCCTTTTAAGTAAAATCTTCAACTTTATAAAATCAACTTTTTAAAAATAGCAATACATTTGTTATTTAGAAAGTGACCAATCATTTATATGTACAAAAATTGATCAATCCTAAATTACTATTAACACATTGAACAATCACAATGCATTCAGGTTCAATAATAATTGATCAATAACAAATAATCAGTTGTATTTTATGCCGGTATTGCCCTATCATCATATGCTCTCATAAAATCTACTACTGTTACTTCAACAGCATCAAGTAATTAACCAATCATAAATTACTTCTATTTAAAATTTGGAAAAACAGAAATCAGTATTTTACAGTGTGCTGGTCGCTAGTCTATCACTGAGTGCCTACATGTGGAATCGGGTGTATGAAAACTTTGTCGATCTCATGGGCAACCATTTTGATTACCTCATCGTATATGTCATCATCACGAGCGTCATCAGCTTTGCTGTCTGCTACTATAAGGTTGTGTGTAATTGCTTTTGTTTTCGATTTATTGGGGATTTGCTTACCGACACGTTGTCTTCATTTACGCTATTGTAGTAATAATCATGACGTCAAAATCACCGACGTTACGTCATCGTTATAATTCCCAGGGCCCAGTATCAAACCCCAGGTTGTTAACTCTGATCAAATGGTCCATCCAACTGATAGGAGTAATTTTCATGTACTTTGGTTGTCAGTTGGAACCAATCTGTGCACTAACTGTCTTCCTGTTATTCATCCTCAAATTTGCCAAGTCCAAAATTAATATTCCATTCGTAGTTTGTTTCACTGACTTGTGGTGAGCTGTTTGTTGAATGTACTAGATTGAAGAAAATAAGTGTGTTTGAGTTTTTTTGTGATTGGCATTTATAATTTTTTAGAAATTTTGTTGTTGAGTTTTTTTGGTTCTGTTTATTTTTATGGTAGTATAAACATTTTTTAAACTGGTTTATGTTTGTTAAAAATCTTGAAGTAGGTGCATTCTTAGCTGTGAATGATGTATGTCTGCTGGCTGACCTAACTAGTGAATAACCAAAACAGTGTGAACGTTTTACAAAATCTGATTGATTTTTATTACTTATATAGTGCCAGATAAAAATTAAAGTACTCATATCAACAAAAGCATAATTATATGAACAGAAACCGACATAGTAAATATTTTCAAACTATAAGTTTTACACAAAATCAAGTACAATGTTAAACGTAACGGGATTTATGAAAACTAATTTTTTGTTAACCAAAATCGCGTTTAAGTTATTTAAAAACTCTTATCATTAATTACACAAACTGTTGTGATTCGTAGCCATGATCAATAACATTCTATATCATCATTATCAACTGCTATTACGAAATTTTTTATTCTCATTGCTATCACCATCATTAGTTTCCATCATCTTGGTCATCATCATGAAACCAGGTATCGTATGTTTCCACCTCGCATAAGACTTCTCACAGAGGAGGAATACAACATGCAAGGCTCCATCGAGACGAAGATGGCTCTGGAACAGCTGAGAGAGTACTGTCGTAGTCCTGAATGTAATGTATGGAAAACCATCTCTAGATTGAAATCACCAAATAGGTTGGTGAGTTAGTTTGTCGGTTGGTTGTTTAATTTTTTTGGTTGGTCTGTCTGTGTGACCTGACTTGGAGTTTAAAAAATGAAAAATTTTATAGAACTAATGCACGACAGTGTAACGTTTTTTTTGGAAAATATTTTTTTTTAAGTTTTAAAAGCATAGTAAAGTTAGTCAAAATTCTTCAGTTGTAAATTGTAATTTAACAATTGACCAATAGTAAATTAATTGTAAACTAAACTGTATGTCAATTTTTATTGGTATTTGTAATCTTTTAAGCAAAGCTTTTAATTCTGCTAAAGTTGTAAAGTGGAAACCTATACAGGTTGTCACAAGTTGTAAACTGATTACTGATTACCAAACTTAATTTAATCAATTAACAAATTGCTTCCAAAAAAGCTCTACGCAAACACAAAGCAAAGAAAATTTTTGTTGTGGTCCTAAATTGTTGTATTTTGATTTGAAGTGTATCCATCTTGCCCACGACGTTTTCCTTTTTTCACAAGGCTTGAATTTTTCCAATGTTCTCTTAGTTAGAGAAGGAGGTAGAGAATTCCAGAAAAATGGGCCTGAAAAAGCAAACACAGATTTAGCATCTGAAACAGGAATAAAGATAAAAGGAGAATGAAGGTAATCTTAAACAGGAGCGTTTAGGTTCAATTAATAATATAATATATCTGATAAGTACTTAGGAAGTAATTTAGATCGAGACTTCTACATTAATGTGCAAATTTTCAAAATTATTCTACATTTTATAGGCAGCCATTGCAAGAAAACAAGATATGGAGATATTTGAGAAAAGATAGGGGCACGAGCAGCAGAGTTAAAATGCCTTACTTAAAGGATCGAGCGTACATTCAGGAAGACCATAGCATAGTAGAGCGAGTTACGTTAATCAATCCTAAATAAAACTAACGAGGAAACGAGAAAAAAGTTTTTCTTTCTACGCAGATGAAAGTAAGAACCTTCAGCGACACTATTAATCCGAGAAGTAAGATACATGCTAGAATCAAAGATATAGCCCAGACTACGATACATATTAGATTGCTATGTTTGAGATGTCTCAATATTGTTAATAAAAATATTTTCATAAAGTTTTATAATTTGTTTTTAAATTTTTCAAATTAATAACTTTAAGATTCGCAGCATTTGTTGAGGGAAGTGTGGACCATGTATCTGATGAGGAATTAAATGAGCACATCTATGGCGACAAGTTTCGCGTTGCATCAATGTATTTGGATGATTGATTTGGGATTCTACAAATTGGATTTTATTGTTAATTTTGGTTTTTTAACTTGTAATGGAATCACTAATTTGGGATACTTCAAATTCAATGGTGTCGTTAATTTGGGTTTCTCCGTTATTAGCATTAGTGGTTTTGGTTTCTCGAAATTTCATGAAGTCATTAACTTTTTTATTTCCACCACTTTTAATGCAATTGCATAATTAATTTTTCAATCTCCCATTTTTTTATATGCTCTCTTTACGAAATTTTGTTGATTTGTTTTTTAAAAATAAATCTATTCTTTGACGACTTTCGTCTTTTACGTTCAAATCGTGTGTACGGACACTGTATTGTATTGACTGTTTTTAACAATGAAAAAGAACAATCATCAACGTACCTTGATATAAAAATTAATGATGGATTGTATAAAGATACTAATTGGCAACTAGCTAATTCAAATAGCCTGTATGTTTTATAATGTTCATTAAAAGTGTTGTGGAAAAAATTGAAATATTTGTCGAAAAATTTAATTTTGTGAAATAAAGACCAATCTTTGTAATTTGTACATGTGTATGTTGTCTAGTGTAATTAAGCTAATTATAAATTTTTGTACTGTTGTATCGCTATCTTATTCCATAGTTTACAGGTGGGAATGGCATTCATGTTTAAAGAAATTTTGTCATATTTTAGGGTTTCAGTAATAAATTTTGCATTAGCAGTTAATTATGTCATTTTTCTGTTTGTGCATCAAATAGATGTTTTTATTGAACCATTGAACATTCATTTACTTTTAGTTTAATTCTGTTTTACAAGTACATCTCTGTTAATTGTAAACAAAGTATTGAGTAACTCTAAAACTTTGCACTTTAATTAATTAATGAATACAAAGACTTTATGTTTTTACGATTTGACATTTCCGAATAATTACTCGCTCTCGCATACTAATTTATATTAACTTAGCGTGTTGTAAATGTTTCCACGCTTGTTAAAAGTTAGGACGGGAGACTATATATACTCTAAATTTCTGTTCAGGTTCATTACATGTCTCATCACAATTCTCTCTAGTCTCTTGTGCTAAAAATTTGTTAATCTTAGCGCGAAATATTATTGAAGCTTTTATAAATTCGATTAGAAATAATTTTTGGAGAATAAACATTCTTCTAAATCTAATTTTAGACTCTAGAAAAACAGAATTAAAATCAGAAAAAGTACAGGAGTGCAGAACTGTACTAGCCTGGTGAAAGACAAGGAAGTATCCCTGTATTTCTGAACAACAAACGCGAAATTCGAAAATGGATTATATTCGTTTGTATCAGTTTGAAAGTTTTGATAAGTTGAAGCAGAACATGCTTCCCAAACTAAAACCAAACGAAACAGAGGAGTTTATGAGGATTGCAGCCATGTGTCCAAATGACTGGACCTGCGTTGATTCAGACAGATATTTGATTGTCATTGGTTCAGATGATGGTACTTTGAGGGTGTGTGATAAGCGAACTGGCAGTCGGAAAGCTGTCATACTTAGGGTTGGTTCACTTTTTAAATTTTCATTCATGATTGGTTTCAATTAATATTTTTTATTATTAATAAATTTATATGATTTTGTAATTTTTTATTAAAAATAATTGAATATACTTGTTAAAATTTTCCAACCAAAAAATCTACAGGCTTCTGATTTGAGGATGACCAAAGCAATGGTAATAAATGTAGGTGACGATCTGGTTGTCACGGGCTTTGTCGATGGGAGGGTATCCATAGCTAGATTTTATGACCAGTCACAACCAGGCAATGGGGTTAGAATTTAATCATTTAAATTTTTTTCATGATTTTTAGCATTTCTTATTTAAATGTTCAATCAATTTCACGATTCTATCAAAATTTAATAGAAATGACAAATTTCAAATTCAAACAGGATATAATGCTCACGGATATACTTGGTGAACACAGGCAGGCCATCACATGTTTGGAATGGTCTGCAGACGAGTACAAACTCTTCAGTGGTGATGCAAAGGGAGTTGTCTTAGCTCATGAAGTCAACGTTAACCTGGTTTGTCATTTTCATTTTTACTGATAAAATGTTGATATTAGTTTGGTGATGTTGTTATTATTTTTAAAAATTCATATAATTATTAACAATCTGTTAAAATTTTCAACAGTTGAAAGTTGAATCATCTGTTTTGTTTATGGAGACATCAAGTATCATTCAGCTAAGTTACGCTGATATGCATCTGCTGACTGTCACAAAACATCGAGCTATCATTTACAGTTTCGTTGATAGCACGTACAAGATTGTCGGAGAAGAAAATTCAGAAATGTAATTTATAATTATTATGTGGATTGTTTAATTATCTACAATGATATTAATTTAAACAAATCTTCCACAAACAGTAAAAAGAAAACAATATTTGGAGGTCTGTTCAGCAAAGACAGCCAGACAAATGAACTGTTCATTTACATTGTTGCTGAAGGCTTACAAATATTTAAAGCCAGAATGGATGGATCGATAAAATGCTCCTACTCATTCACAGATGAATTGATCAAGGATAAGTTCAAGAACATTTTCATATTGGAGAGTCAACCTCAATCGAGTAATGATGTCCTCACATCATCAACACTGACAACCAGTTCTGATAAAAATATAAAAGTTACTAGCAACATAAACATTCCATGCAACATAGTGGAGCTCAATCTTCCTATTCGTCTGTCTCTTAAAGATGTTTTGGCTTTTGAGTGTGATGATTTAAGTGCTTCAAAACCTTTCGGAAATGATAAAACGTTCACTGGTTTCCAGCAAGTTAAGGAAAACGTTTTTTTGTTACATAATAGGAAAGGAGTTTTTATGCTGGCTGTTGATGGCATCAATAAACTTCCAGCTTATCATGCCTGTCTTGTTGATGGTAACGCCTACATTATTCAGGTGGCAGTCAACCGCATTCCATCTTTGGAAGTTTATGTCCTGGTTGGCAATGCGAATGAAAAAGTCATCAGACTTGCTGCTGACCCAATAGCCCTACAAAGTATGTTGTGTTTGTTTTTTAAGTGCTTTGATGGGTTCATTAATTTTTATAAGTGTATTACACTAACAATCCGAAATAGAAACAAATACATACATATTAATTCATGAAAACTGTAAAGATGAAATAATATAATTATTTTTTTATTTGATACAGTTGAACAACCACAGCCTTTGAATGGAAGTTTTATGACAGCAACTTCACTTACGTTATCAAAACTGAAAACAAAAACCAGCAGTACAGCCATGTCTTTGAAAGAGCCCATGAAACTGTTTAAATCTAGAGCATTTCAAATGTCTGAAAAGTTTGTTGACAAAGTTAAAGTGGTCGGTCAAACTACATTGAAAAATGTAAAGGACAAGGATTCATTTGTTGGGAAAAATATATCAAAAGGCAACGATGTGCTCAAGCAGATCTTCAAATCTTCCCATCCGGACATTTTAGCTAGAAATTCACGACCAGAGACATTAAAGAAGAATGATTACGGCTCCTTTAACAGATCGACAATTCCGGTTGTCTCAAGAAATCTACTTGACTTACAGGATGTAACTGAAGAGACGGAGAATGAAAAGGATGATGATCCTATTGTTTACGAATCCAAGAAATGTTACAGGAAAAGAAAAATCACTGTAGAAGGTGGAGAAAGTGGTTCCTGTCAGTCACTAACGTACAGCACTTCCATCCATCCGAAGTCAAGAACGCTTACAACAACCGCATCAACTTTCGGCCAAGTATCTGGTTCGAATTTTAATGCAAGTTTGAAAAATTCATTGAGAGGCTACTCATTGATGCCTTATTCGCCTGATGCCGAGTTGCCCTTATTGTCGTCGTCATCGCCTTCGATGTCAGACGCATCGATAATAGGACATGCATTAACGTCACAATCAAGATTGACGTCCTCATTAAGTGAGTTGAACAATGATCTCAATGCCGATAAGGTCAGTTTACTGTCGTTGCCTGCTGCAATCTGTGGCAAAAACATAAGCTCTTGTACAGAGAGGAACGCAGCTTCAGCTAGATCAACGTCAGCGACATCAGCCGCGTTCTCTACAGCGGCAGCAAATACATTTGAGAATCCAACAAATGATGATGATTTTGCAAATTTCTCAATAGTGCTCAACGACTCAACCACACTCTCCAGTCAGGAAACGACTGCTTCAAGGAATGCTAATATTACTTCTGTTGGAACTACTTGCACTGACACTAAATTGTCTTCAACGCTGGTTCCATCATCTGATGAAAAAACAAATGATTGCTTAGATGAAAATAACGACACAAAATCAACACATGCCGATGATTCAACATCATTAATGAAACTTCATCAACTTGAACTTGCAGCATCAACGTCAACAGTTGCTCCAGTAGATATTACTGTTGATTTACCAGTACTTTCAAAAGATGTGAAAACTGTTTTACAGGAGAAGTCAAATGAGAGGACAACCGAGGGTGTTGATGCTAAATTTCCGATCATATCAAGTGAGTCTTCATCATCAGCTTCATTGAACAAAGATCATGACGTTGATAGATCTCCTACTGTTTTGCCTCAATTTGCCACAAGTCGTATCTGTTCAGACAGTGGAACAACAACAACCTCCACGAAAACACAGTCTGATGCAGAAAGAAAAGATTATGGCATTGATTTAGACTTGCTTAAAAGTGACAAGAAGATTGATGTCAAATTGTTATTAGCTAATTTCAACAACGGCGGACCTGTCACCGTTGAAGAGCCTGTCGAAAGGATTCCTTTCTGGGAAATAAAAACTTTTCCAACATCACCCAACAAAACGCCTACTATCTCTACTACGTCATTGGAACCAGTGGAAGTACAAAATGAACATATTAACAAGACCTCGAAGGAAGGTGAGGAAAAAAATGGAGACAATGACAAAGAAGATTCATTCGAGGACATATACTCGAAATATGGACAGAAAAAAGCCGAGGTGTCTGACGATGAGATCAATCCACTAAAAGTTAGGGGTTCTTTAAAAAAAGGTAAGAATGACTTTTATGATTTAGTCAGTAGGAGTTACAAAGACCGTGATGGTAACAACTTTCAAATTATTAATTCTAACCCTAACGATGATTTTAATATTTATTTCGAAGACGAGATTCGAAATCTTGAACGATTCAATGATTCCGAAATTGAACATAATTTAAAAGTATCTGATTGTGATGATAGTGATGAAAGTGACAACGGCGATGAGGATGGTAGCGATGATGTAGAGGATGATAACGACGGGGATTTTTGTGTGATCTCTGCAAATGACGTCACAGAGGGTGCTTCGCAATGGTCAAGTGTGCCACCACAACAACATTCGCAGCTGTTGTCGTCATCATCTTCGTCGCCGCTGTTGCTCATCTCGTCATCGCCATCGGCCACGCCAGCCATATTAATAGATAATTCAATTTTTCCTAATTTTTTCCAAGCAGGTACAAGCCAGTACAGAAACCCACAAACGACCGTAAATTTAAAGAATTTAAACATAGACCCGCTTGTGATTTTGGACGAGTTCACGACGGCGTTGCTCCGCACACAAACCGAACAAATAAAGCTAAAAAATGTTGAACTCCGTGAGTTCTTCAGATTCACCACAGCTTTCCCCGTCGGCTCGTTTGCCGTGAGCGGTCAGAGAATATACTGCATTTCCAACAGGCTGGGCTGGTTGTGCACGCAACGTGGCAACATAAGAGGTAACAACGTGTTCAAGTTGAGATACAACAGTCCGATGGATGATTCGGCGAAGTGGCTTTCTTTCCACCCCAAGGTGCCCATCAGAGCCCAGCAGGTGTCTGCCTACTCCGGTGTTATCTGGAGACTCCTGGATGGCAAGGCGTTTGCATACTTTGGTCACGTGACAGCCGAACATACGTGGACGATGTTTGCTAATGATGTAGCGTTCATTCACGTCTCAAATGAAAATTGTGCCTTGTAAGTTCTGCTGCTTGTGTTTCTGTTTAGATGGTTGTTTCATTGTATGCTCTTGTTGTTTATTTAGTGTTGTTCGAAATTAAAATTACATATGGAAAGATAAATCTTAGTCATAAATATGCGTTCTTAATTCAAATTAATATTATTTTATGGTAATCTTCCAACAGCTTTGTGAAGAAAAATGGTGACCTCTACGTGCACAGAGGGGTTAGCAGGGATCGTCCTTGCTTCGAACCCTTACAAATTTTACTGGGGTTCCCCATCGTGAAAGTTTCTCACAGGGACGGGGTGGTTTGGGTCCTGGATAGATCCGAGTCGATGTCAGCATTCGAGTTGGTCTTCGAGGAGAAGAGTGATGGCGAGTATGGGGGCAGTGGAAATGATAGTAGTAGTGGTTATGATGAAGATGGATGTTTTCGGTCTCACGTCATAGCGAAAGCCAACAGACTCACTAAGATCAAGTTTGTTGATTTTTTGATTGATATTTTAATTTTGATGTTGTAACTAATGCCACAAACATATCATATTTTCAATTACTCATAAACGAAACCTTTTGAATACTCATGCAGACTCGACGGCAGAGCCTTTCCGGAAACTTTCGAGTTAAACACGGCCACCATGAACACCACCACCAACAGATACACCACCTCCATTGTCGTCAACTCAGCAGTGTCTGATTATAGATCATTCGTCAAGAGAACGCTCAACATCAACTGCGAGAGCATCATCAAACTCCATAACATCAACAATGTCAAGAATAAAAATTTGACCAACGATCATGTTATCGTCGCTGCAACATCTTACTATGATAACATCAAGAAACGCGGTGCCTTCAGCAGTAACATTCAGTTGATGGCGCCGTCGTTATTACACATCAGCGCAGGTGAAAAATCGTCGTCATCCAACAAGAACATTCGCAACAACAAAAAGAACTATGCAGCATCTGCAAGCTCTTCTTCTAGCTCATCAACGAACAAATTGACAGCAGAAGAAGAAGAAATAGCCTTACACAATTCCACACATTTATTGATCCCCAACAAGACGACAAACATCAACAACACAGTCTTCATGCTGACTAATGAAGGGGAAGTTATTTTCACTCATGGTATTACGAGAAGCTCGCCAGGGGGATGTGGATTGTGGTACAACGTATGCCAAACTGTGAAGGTAAGTGTTCATATTACTAATTAGTTTAGTTTTTTGGTGTTACTTGGAAATTATTTAAAAACTTTTCATCAACTCAATTTTTTTTCTTATTTACATCATCACCAGATATTTCCTACAAAGAAATCGTCTCAAGGTAAAAACATAACTGAAAATTCGTCGTCATTGAAATGCAAAGAAAATGGGGATGTTGTGGTTTGTTCAAGATACTATGATGGCTTTGTCTTCATGACTCTGCCTATTTATGGTAAGTATATTGGTTGTCCTTTTTATGATTATGGACTTCATTTATTCTTTGAAGATTGTTTTTTGCTTATTTTTCGTTTAGATTGAATGGGGCGGTGGGAATGGGTAATAATTGATTGAATGAATGGATGTTTGACTGAATAAAGAACAAATGATTTAACATCACACTCTTGCACATCGCCTCACACAGGTTACAGATTCGAATCAAAATGGATGTCCGATTCTCAAGGATTTGATTTCTACAGCATCTTCAAGGACATGTCCGTCAGTTCAAGTAAGCCTGATTAAATAGCTCATTTTCTATTTAACATGATGCTATTTTACTTTTTCAATTAATTTTTCTATTTCATCACCAATCAAATAACTAACCAAATAACCATCCAATGCAGCATCGATCTGGTTATTAACGTGGGACAACTGCATAACGAACATGATAATGACCTGTTCATTTGGCTCCATGTTCCCAGTACCTCATCCACCGACCGAGACTAAAATTTCCATGCTAAGCGCCTCGTCGCAAGCCGTCTGGTGTCTCACGGAGGACGGCGCCATCTATGTCGCTAACCTCTGCAAAGAAGATGCCAGTGATGATGAAAAGGAGGATGAAAGTGATGGAGCTTCTGCCGGCGAGCCCAAGGAGAAAAAATTCAAGTGGAGATCCATGGAGTTGTCGCAATTAGGTTGGTGCTTGTTGCTTATTCATTATTATTTATCCTTGTTCTTTATGGCATCTACAAATTTTCAAAATCTACATGTTTCTACTCAAGTCGCGCACTAACACGTATAACTACTCTTAAATACTAATTAACAAATGCGTATATAACTACTAGTAAATACTAATTAACAGATGCATTTCATCATCAAATAACAGACAGTAAGTCAGGTCGGTGTCGGATGAAACACATCTCCCTCGGTCGCTCTCACGTCTGGGCGGTCGACCAGTCTGGATCGGTCTATTTCCGAACATCAGCTCGTTACAATTCTAAGGGACTTAATCCTGCCTGGATTTTGATTTCAAATGCTTTTAGCCCGGAACTTGATACCGTCAAATTTGACAAAGTCTTTGTGTCGGGAGATGATTCATTGGTTAGTTATGATTCTTCTTGCTGTTATTATTATCACATTCTTGTTGTTACACCCCTTATTACATCATATTTGTGTTCGTGACCATTTTGTTATAGTTCTCCTTCACAAATCACTAACATAACTCTTATCGTACCCGAACAGGTATGGGCCTTGGACACGACAGGTCAGATATACGTGAGAGAGGGGATCAAGGAATCGCTCCATATTGGTTCTAACTGGGATTCAATCTTGGGTTAGTTGATGATGAAGATTAGGTTGATGGGATGATGATGAGTAATGATGGTTGATAATTTCTTTATGTCGGTAGATGTAAAATTAATGAAAACTTTTTAACTTCTAGGGCCTAAAACTCATTCTCTAAGCTTGAGTGGAAACTTCGCTTACGTTGTCGGTTCGGACCATCAAGTACACATCCGAGTCGGTATAACTCCCAAATATCCGGATGGTCTCTTCTGGGTTAAAATCCCGAAATATGAATTTTCAAAAATATACAGTAAGTTTTTTCTATTCATTCTTCAGCTGTTTTAATCACGAGCGATTGTAAGACAATTTCGTAATAAAAAAAAGTAACATTTTGGTAATGAAGTTTAATTTTATAAATAATAATTGAAACGAAATAATTCAATTGAACAGCCAACTGCAACGACGACGTGTGGACACTGGACTCGTCAGGTGAACTTCATCATCTGGACATCTGCAGGGTGCAGTCGTTGTCGGCGCTTTCATCGGGATCGTCATCACTGGCCGACTCTTCCAAGTCTGAATCAAAAAAGTCTGCCTAG